GGAAGCACTGTCTGACGCGTCTGCCTCCGCGACCCGGAAGGAGAAGCGGCGATGGAAGATGAAGATGAAACAACTCGCCGGCGATGCGCGTCTCGATTTGCTTCCGGATTCTCAAATCAGCGAGAGCTTTGTAATAGCCGCTGCTTTTTAGGTTGAGAAGTCACAGCTGTGATGGTTTGGAGACATGTTGCGAATGACTCCAGAAAGGAAGGCTAAGCAACTGTTTCTTACCCAACCGACCGGCGAAAAGTCCAGGGAACGGTCAAGAATGATAGGGTTCAGACTCAAATTGTCATCTGCCAAAGCTCACACTCTAGTACATGATCGGGAACCCTGTCTGTCTAGTCTATCTCCATGACCCGAAAGCAAAAATGGTCAAGAAAGAACAAGAATATAGTGTGGTTTGAGGGTAGCTACTGATATTAGATAAAAATAAATATAAACATTCTAACATATTAGTGACCAAGGTCTGGATAGACGGTACTTTAACATAGGAATTCCTCTGTCGCTCTTTCTCAGATGGTGTGAAAATAATTATGTATGAAAGCTAATTTGAATAATAAAAATAAATTTCTACTCCTTACCTCTTTTATGTTTGATCGTAACTTCTCATTCGCCATTGTTTTCAAATCTGCATCTTTCGCCCTCATGTGCACCATCATAGCCGTGACAGTAACAGGACTCTTCTTAACATCGTGAAGTTCTTTCAGTACTTTGAAAACATTCTCGCTGAATTTTGTTGACGACGACATTATGAGAGCAGGAAAAGACGCGACTTTCTTCAAGGCAGATAGATAGAGAATAGTTCACCCGTCCAATAAACGATCCTTTCATAGGCCTAGTTTTAATCATAAATTAAATTGCGCTCTAGTTTAAATTTAAAACATGAATGAAATCGTTACAAAATCATTGCTAATCAACTCCCAACATTAAATTTCAATGTAAAGCGATTATCTTTTAAATAATGTTTGCCCATACATGTGATGAAAGTTAAATGCTGACTTGAAGCGATTTCCTTATAACATGATTTAAACTGCTGAAAACGGTTTCGGGCAAAAAAATTCAGATCTCCTGTGGATGAAGAACTTATGAAGTCCAAGCAATGTGTATAATTGATACGTCTAAAATTTTCCAGTCTCCATTCAACATAGCAAGCACATCTCAAGTGATTATTTTTTTTGCGATTCGCAGCAGGTATATGAAGAATTATTTGTTATTTAGGCTCCCTTAACCATCAGAAGTGACGACCTTCGACGTTTATAGCATTTGCACACCTGCACTATGATGATGTAGCGCTTAAATGCTGTCACTTACGAAGCTCATAAGCAGAGCTGATTTAAACAATTTTTTGTGGCATATCTGAATTGAATTCGAACCATGAATTGACAAGAGGGCATATTCGTTCAACTGCTAACCTATAATCGAATACAGTTTAAAAGTCTATTTAATAACGGGTCTGTATATTCATATGATAAGTAGGTTGGGCTTGATTACTGTTGGCCCGCCCCTGACGTAAAATTTCAGCGGGTTCCTTCTTGATTTTAAAATTCTTGCTTTGCCTTGATGTAAACATTACTCTGAATTTTACGCTAACATTGCTTTAAAAATGTAGCTCTTGGTGATGATTTGTTAAAGTCTAAACTTTTCTGAAGTGTGATGCAGTTACTGTTGTGTATTGTCTTTCAGAACTTCTTTTACTGGTGGCTTTATTTTGTTGAATGTTCCTGTAATTACTAGATAAGCAGTGAATTCGTTAATTCGTATGTTAAGGGAAGCTTCATTAACTAATTAATTTTCCTATGTTCGCTGCCTAGTGGTGTATGCTGTTTCCAAGCTTCTTTTTATTGGGATTTCACTACTGTGATATGTATTATTTTAGTATGCGTCCGTTTTTCGCGATGAAGTCACACGTCACTCGAAATTTTAAACATGAATGACTCTCATTGCACATGATGTCAGCTAAGGAATTGGCAGGTCTGTATTCAGATTGCTGTGCTGTTGCGCGTCTGAAATGAAACTTGATTTTCTGATTTCTTTGTTTGCAGCTTATAGCACGTACTGATTTGTATTATGCTTCTAATCAAATCGCAGCAGCACGGTACCCGCATAAGAGAACATGTCTTCCACACTGGTACAGTCCCAAAATCACCTTGCGGTCGCTGTTTGACTGACATACCCTCTCTTCTTATACGAATTCCTCAGATAGTCAATAAATATTACTCCAAACGAGATCTTTCGATCTGTTTACCTCATTTTCGCCAATTCACGTCGGAGAATAAAAAAGGTCTACCTGTTGACAGTGATAACTATGCACATGGAAATGAAGGTGATGGAGGCGATTGTTGTAAATTGACAATACACTGTTGCACCTTATCTGACGTATGGGAAGATGGCTATTTGATTGCCATGTCTTTCAGCCTGTCTGATTTCCCCGTCTTCCTTTCTATAGCAAAGGTTAGCATTATTTTTGCGAAATCGTTGTACTTGTTGTGTTGGATAGTTCATCATCTTTAATAAATATCTTGCGTAACTTTTTGTTCCCTTACATGCGTATAAACTTGAAAATCTATATTTTCTAATTTGTTTATTTTCTGCCATATAGATATTTTATGTAATCATTTTAGTTAAGGAGCACTTCCTGTCGGTGCTGTTGGAAAACGATGCGAAGTCTCCTGCTCTTGCTTGCATCGAGACGTTACTGGAATGCGTCAAAAAAACGAAAGGTAGCAGCAGGTTTTAATCTTGTGATTTCTCATGCAAGTCTGTCGCAATGCAGGTTGTGATTTTCAGAGACCTGTTTTGTCACTGTTACAGAAATGCTTGACAAATATCCAATATTTCTTTCTTCCTGTATATTATCACAGATGTTTCTTCTACTAAGATTAGTCAATCACTAGTTTATTAAATTGTGGAGTACCATCGTTATCAAGACTGAACATACTTAGACACAGTAAGCATGATCAACGCATCAGATCAGTGCTTAAAGCTTAATGTTTTCTTTTTGGCTATGTAAAAATGTTGAAGGAAATGTCAGA